CGAGGAAAACCATTTTAATCCAACTTTGTACGTTACAGGTTGGACCCATTCACAGCAGTCAGGAAGCTCATAAAATTGTAACACAGACGCAAACATCTGAGTGGTCCCATAAAGAAGAGAGGGAGAAGGTCTCTAAGCATCCTCCACGGGGTACAAAGCCTGCGTTTACGAAACTCGGATTCGGAAAGGAATACGCACAAACTATGGAGGATGCTTATACTGTAAGAGGGTGTGAGTACGCGTACCAGGTTGAACAGTGGCCTCCAGTACGTTCTGTGTTTTGGAAACAGGATCTTTGCAGATGTAATTAAGTTAAGGCTTTTGAGAAGAGGTCCTGTTGAACTGAGGGTGGACCCTACTTCCAACGTCTGTGTTCTTCAGAGGAAGAGGACAGGGTGATGTGACCGAGGCACACGGACGGGCAGCCGGTGCAGCGGGAGGCGGGAATGGCGAGACCCACCCCCAAGGCAGGAAGCGGCAAGGGCTGCTGGAGGCCACCAGACGTAGGAGGGAGGCAGGGAGCAGATTCTCCCTCGGAGCCCCCAGAAGGAACGGATCCTGCCAACAGCGTGATTTTGGAGTCCCGGCCTCTGGAATAAATTTCCGTTTTAAGCCACTTAGTGTGTGGTATTTTGTTATAACAGCCACAGGAAGCTAATACAGTACATTAAACCCCTAAGAAGATTAAGGGTGGGGGGAGAAGCTAAAGCTCAGATTAATCTAAGACTCTTGGGAAACGTTCAATGAGGCAAAGGGGGCTTTCAAACAAAATTTGAAACAAAACACAAACAAGGAAAAAGGGAAGCCTGCTACTGAGGAGGATACTGTCATTTTTACAAGTGATTGTAAGAAAGCCAATCTGCCTAGCAACCAGAGAGGGAGCATCAGGCTAGGGAGCTGGTCCGTACCCCAAGGGGATGTTCACCTGCTCCTCAGTCAGTGGTCCTGGACACAGGGGTACATGACCCTTTGGGCTACTCCTCTTCTGCTTTCTGGCCGTGAGCTGGGAAAACCATTTTTAACTGAAGTCTTCTTTAATCGCAAATATTTAGACGAATGCCCTACTTAATAATGTCATGATTTTTCTTTTCCCGATGTCTTAGCTGATGGTAACAATGGACGGCAATTCAGATTTTTTCTCCTATGAATTTGCTTGCTAAGCTAGCTTGTGAAATCAATGCACTGTGGTTATTTTACAAGCCAGAGGCAGTGTTAATTGAAATGCTTCAGCAAATGGGTGTGTGCAACACGGTCCCCATTTGAACGACAGCCTATCTTTTAGTGATTCCGCTTCTCTTGTTCACCACTCATGTCTGAGCAGGATCTGAGGTCCAAATGAAGGGGGCGAAGTGGTCCTCAGACCACCGGGATCTCTGTGCATTTCTGATGGCGCTCACCCTGCCCTAGGTGGTCGTCGTAGGACCCCAGGACCTCCTGGAGGCACGGACTGCCTTTTCCACCCAGAAACTACCCTCAGGACAGAAGAATCATCTCGCTGGAGCCTGGGGGACTCCCTGACATGCTGAGACAGTTCGCTAGTGAACTGGAATTCTTGCTTCTAATTGTGCAATGTTTTGATGGGACACTGACATCATGGAGGCCGTTGACGGAGGAGGCAGGGGCCATAGATTCTTCAGGGTCATCATTGTATTTGCATCTTGGTGGATTAAGTCAGGGGGCCTTTGTAGCAGAGAGTGAGTCAGAATCATGATTGTCAAGCTTGGACAGAACAGTAAAGGGCTCCATTTTCTGGGATTGTAAAGATAAAGTCTCCCTTAAAATCACTTTGCAGTAAAAGGTTGACTTGGTTGTGTTCACTCTCTTAGCCTGTGATGTGGTTATGATTGTTCATGAGAGTTAGAGCATTTACCCTTGCGATGAGAGTCAGAATCCCAATTGCCTATTGAGTCTGAGTAGTGATCTGAAGAGGTAAGGCAGCGGAGGTGAGACGGGATGACAAGACGCGATGTCTGCCCGCGGGGCCAAGAGCCATTGCGTGGGCTCAGCTCAGACGTCTCCAGAAGAACATCTGGGCGCAGCCAGCTGGCACTGGGCAGACTGTGCAGGAGGGTGCGGGGCGCCCTATCGGGACTTCATCAGTGTACCCAAGTTACATGAACATTTCTAACAGTATTTATCTCGTTGTCCTACCATGAGGCTGGAGCCCTGGAGTGACCCAGTCTGTCCACATCCCTTCATCTGTGTATGAGGACTCTTTGGAATAAGGACACCACGGTGGGATTGCTGTGACCCGGAGCCCAGGGCAGCCCTGTGAGGGCGTGGGACTCCAGGCCGGGGGAACCTCACTGAGGGCTTTCTGGATGCCTTGGCCATTGGTCCTTTTCCGTCAATTATGTTAACCTTCCAAGCAGCCTTTTATGGTGGCCACTATGACCCCCGTTTTATAAATAAGGAAAACACAGGTTAGAGGTTTTGTCACTTACCAGCGGGTGCTTTTAGGAAAGAACCTAGCCTGCTCTGCTCGGTTTCCATTTGTGCCGCATGCAGGGTAATGAGGAAACCTGTCCTGGAGGGCTGTGGTGGGCTCTAGGAGGGGGCTAAGTGCCTGGACCACGGGGGGGACTCCTCCTCCTCCTCCTCCTCCTCCTCCTCTCCTCCTCCTCCTCCTCTCCTCCTCTTCCTCCTCCTCCCTCCTCCTCCTCTTCCTCCTCCTCCTCCTCCTCTCCTCCTCCTCCTCTCCTCCTCCTCCTCTCCTCCTCCTCTCCTCTCTCCTCCTGCCTCCTCTCCTCCTCTCCTCCTCCTCCTCCTCTCCTCCTCCTCCTCCTCCTCCTCCTCTCCTCCTCCTCCTCCTCTCTCCTCTCCTCCTCTCCTCCTCCTCCTCTCCTCCTCCTCTCCTCCTCCTCCTCCTCCTCCTCCTCCTCTCCTCTCCTCCTCCTCCTCCTCCTCTCCTCCTCCTCCTCCTCCTCCTCCTCCTCCTCCTCCTCCTCCTCTCCTCCTCCTCCTCCTCCTCCTCTCCTCCTCCTCTCCTCCTCCTCCTCCTCCTCCTCCTCTCCTCCTCCTCTCCTCCTCTCCTCCTCTCCTCCTCTCCTCCTCCTCCTCCTCTCCTCCTCCTCCTCTCCTCCTCCTCCTCCTCCTCCTCCTCCTCTCCTCCTCCTCCTCTCCTCCTCCTCCTCCTCCTCCTCCTCCTCTCCTCCTCCTCCTCTCCTCCTCTCCTCCTCTCCTCTCCTCCTCCTCCTCTTCCTCCTGCTCTCCTCCTCCTCCTCCTCCTCCTCCTCCTCCTCCTCCTCTCCTCTCCTCTTCCTCTGCTCTCCTCCTCTCCTCCTCCTCCTCCTCCCTCCTCTCCTCCTCCTCCTCCTCTCCTCCTCTCCTCCTCTTCCTCCTGCTCTCCTCCTCTCCTCCGCCTCCTCTCCTCCTCCTCCTCTCCTCCTCCTCCTCCTCTCCTCCTCTCCTGCTCTCCTCCTCTTCCTCCTGCTCTCCTCCTCTCCTCCTCCTCTCCTCCTCCTCCTCTCCTCCTCCTCCTCCTCTCCTCCTCTCCTCCTCCTCTCCTCCTCCTCCTCCTCTCCTCCTCTCCTCCTCTTCCTCCTGCTCTCCTCCTCTCCTCCTCTCCTCCTCTCCTCCTCTTCCTCCTGCTCTCCTCCTCTCCTCCTCCTCCTCCTCTCCTCCTCCTCCTCTCCTCCTCTCCTCCTCTCCTCCTCTTCCTCCTGCTCTCCTCCTCTCCTCTTCCTCCTCCTCTCCTCCTCCTCCCCTCCTCCTCCTCCTCTCCGCTCCCTCTCTCCTCCTCCTCTCCTCCTCTCCTCACTCCTCCTTCCTCCCTCCCTCTGCTCCTGCTCCCTCTCTTCCTCCTGCTCTACCTCCTCTCCCTCCTCCTCCTCTCCTCCTCCTCCTCCTCCTCCTCCTCTCCTCCTCTCCTCTCCTCCTCTCCTCTCCTCCTCCTCCTCCTCTCCTCTCCTCCCTCCTCTTCCTCCCTCCTCTCTCCTCCTCCCCTCCTCCTCTCCTCCTCCTCCTCTCCTCCTCCTCCTCTCCTCCTCCTCCTCCTCCTCCTCCTCCTCCTCCTCCTCTCCTCCTCCTCCTCTCCTCCTTCTCCCAATCATTACAGGCTCATCCTGCTGTTATTCTGACCCTCAGCAGACCAGGACCGGACAGTTATTTCCCCTCTTAGAACAGAATGTTGCTTAAACGTGGCATCATTCTGAAACCAGAGCTTCAGAGGTTAAAAAAGCAAAAAGTGGACTGACGGCCACAGATCATCCTCTCTGCCCCACCCCGTGCCACCAGCACACGAGGAATTCTTGGTCAGTCTCCCTCGGCGTCTTGGCCCCTGGTTCTTAGCTATGGACAGGGGGTAAGGGGTTGTCTTTGGGCTGCCAAGGGTGAGGAAGCAGGGTTTGTTCGTGGGATAGCAGGGCAGAAGAGTGGGTGGCTGTCTGTAATCTGGAGAACCACCTTTGTGTTAGCCATCCATCCACCCATCCATCCATGTCTTCCTCAGTCCGTCAGTTTTTTACGTGGTCAGAGGAGTCCCGCAGAAGAACAGAGCGACGGCTCCTTCCCTCCAGGCGCTCATCCCGCTGAACAGAAGTAGAGGGATTTCATTATGTCATTCCAATATACTTACCTATTTTCTTTTTTAAGCAAACTTCTGAGTCTGAGGTAGAGAGAATTTGAACACGGCTGTGTTGGCTGAGGTAACGGCAGTGAGAAAAAATGTGGTTTTCCTATTTTTAATGCTGAGCTGAGACTCAGGAGGGGAAAAGTGGGAAATAACGCTAAGCAGGTCTGGTCTCTTCGCTTCCTCAAGGACCCTGGACGTTACAAATAAAGGGACGAGCCTTTCAAGGAAGGGGCCATGTAGAGGCTCCTGGGTGGCTCGGGCAGGATGGGGACGTCCTAAAGCACGGAGTGTGCAGGACCTGTAACCCTCCACAGCTTCCTACAGAGGGGCCTCAGGCTGCCCGCTGCAGCTCTGGGGGTGCCCGCCAGGCCCCATCTTACCTCTGCCTGTAACACCTTCTCTCTCTCTCTCTCTCCTTGCTTTTCAGACCCAGCAATTGTCAACGGGGTGTATTGGTCTGAATCCCTGAACAAAGTGTTTGTGGATAACTTTGACCGCGACCCCTCTCTCATATGGCAGTACTTCGGAAGTGCCAAGGGCTTCTTCCGGCAGTACCCAGGTGAGTACCCTGCTTGGAGGGCTATGATTCGGACAGAGGAACGTGTCATGTTTTCCTTTAGGGTTCAGGGTTAAAACTATCGTCCCTTTTCTTAGGAGGAAAATGAAAGGCTCTAAAAGGCAAAAGGAAGAAACAGAGAAAACAAATCAGAAACTCACTCATCAATACAGAGAACAGACTGATGGTTGCCGGAGGGGAGACGGGGAGGGGGGCCTGGGAAAAACAGGGGAAAGGGATGAAGAGGCACAGAATTCCAGCTATAAAATAAGTAAGTCATGGGGATGAAGTGTTCAGCACAGGGAATATAGTCAGTAGTAGTGTCATAACTATTTGGTGACAGATGTTTATTACGTAACGTGGTGATCCTCTGTAAGGTGTTTAGATGTCGAACCGCGGTGCCCTACACCTGAAACTCACCTAACATTGCGTGTCAAGTGTGCGTCCACTGAAGAACTTCTAAACCTGCTGTCAGGTGCAGGACAAGAGTGGCAGCTGGTATCCACACGCCCTGCACAGGCAGGCACTGGGGCCAGCATCCTTCTCAACACAGTGATCCACAGAGCTGCCCAGCGTGGGGGGTTGGGGTGTGAATCGCACCCTATTTAAACTTCCTGGACAAGGGTTTGCTTTTAGTGTTATTATTGTTACTATTATTATAGTCAGGGAAAGGACCAAGTCATCACTGGACAGAGTTACGTTCTGACTGCGAGGTGTAAGAAATGGAAAATCTGAACTTGAGTTTCCCCTCTCCGGGGCCGCCTGCCCTTGGAAGAGGGGTTGAGTGGCCGAGGCACCCTGATGTCAGTGCCCGTCCTAGCAGCCCACCAGCCGCACCTTCAAATGAGCGCATTTGTCAGAGTTTGGCCGTCTTGCCAGTGGAACAGGTGCTCATTCCGGGGCCTTCCCAGGCCTCTACTTTGCAATAGGAATTTAATTCTGGCTTGGTTTGAATTTTAATTAAAAAGGGAAGTTTTAATTTTGCTTACAAGTTGTGAAAACAGGACTCGAGGCTGCAATTGTGCCAGCAACACAGCTGTACAAATTAACAAGCTCAACCTAAAAGAAGGGGAAAAACACCCTGCATAATCTTGGAGCAATTAAGTGGAGTCTTTTATGTTTTCATTAAGTAAGACGAGGCACCTGATGTCTTCCCTCTCTGAGGCGCCGAGTCTGCCAGCTCCGCCTCGAGGGTCGCCCGCCCCGCACGCAGCGTCTGTCCCCGAGACTCTCCTGCCGAGCGTCTGCTCCGCCAGACCAGCCAGCGTTTGCCGAGCTGCGTGCAGCAGGGCGAGCGTGTCCCGGAGCTCACGCGATGTCAACAATAAGCGTCTTAGTAAAGATGGTGTTATAACAAACAGTGGTCTGTTAAAATTCCGGTATCGCCAAACTGCAGTCTGCTCTGATACACTCCTCAGAGAGGAAATTTAACGCAGATGTCGCCGAAATGAGAGCATGGTGGGTGGCTGATCACTGACGAAGCCACAAGGACATCTCACCATCTTGCCCTGTGATGTTTGGACGAAGGTGGAGCAGATGAGGAGAAACCAGAGAGCATCTGTTGTCTCCACCAGCAAGGGGGCCTCCTACTATGGCCATGAGGACATTTGAAGACAAAGGTGTACTAGACATCTCTGGTGCCCTAGCGACATAGCTTTAAACAACGAGATCTATTCTTCACAGTTCTGGAGGCTGGGGAGGCCAGATCAAGGCTCTGGCAGATCCGGCTCTTGGTGAGAGCCCTCTTTCTGGCTTGCAGATGGCCACGTCCTTCCCGGTGTTTCCCGCTCCTCCTAAGGGCTCAACCCCCATGGTCTCATTCAAACCTAGTGGTCTTCCAATGGCTCCACTGCTTAATGCCATAGGGGTGAGGGCTTCAACATACGCATTCTGTCTATAACAGAAGGGACTCCCAGTAGGGAGTTTATATAATAGAGGAGATTATTAACATCCAAGGTTTTTGTCACTCAGAACAGGTGACTAAGAAATGCTTATAGTTCTTTTCTGACATCGGTAGCAGAATTTGGACTTTGTAAAATTTCTGCATCTTTCTATGTTAATATAGACACACGTCACAGTCCTCCAGAGGGGTTTCGTTGCCCTGATAAATGTCACGTGGTCCCTCAGTGCTTAGTTCTGAACAGAGGGCACATCTCTCGGCTGCTGGACGTAACACAGGTATTGGAAAAGTGATCGTGGGCATTTTCTGCTAGGACGTTTTTTTTCAGGATGCCTCTTTCCGCGTGCAGAGTGGTACCAGTGTAAGTCAGTGGTCAGCATACATGTTCTTGAGCAGACGAGATGTTTCTTTATTCTTACAAAGGTGTGTCTGGGGTCCTTGCTTTGTTCTTCTGAGTTTTGTGTGAGACCCTGAGGATAAAATGGTGAACTAGACAGGAAAGGTCTCTGCCCTCATGAATCTCCCTCCTTCTGGGACATGCATGCATCAGGGATTTTGATTGCAAGTGACAGAAACCCAGTTATGACCAGCTCCAGCAAGGGACATATTTATTGGCTCGTGTAACTTGAAACCCGGAGTTGTGCACAGTAGGACTCCAGTAGTCAGCAGTGTCATTTGGATTTTGAATCTTTCCTTCCATTCCTCACTTCTACCTTCCTCTGTTTCACTGGTGGGTGATCTCCTCATGGTGGGGACATGGCATTGGGCTTGCAAGGTTATTCTTTAGTTATGGTCCCCGGGGAAGAGACAGCATCTGTCTCAATAGCCTGGATGAAAATCCAAGAATTAGCCTGGTGTGGGCCATGTGCCTGCGTGCTGAAGCCAAGGACACAGTGGGTAGGGCCAGTCATCTGACACCGTGAGGGTTAGTGGAGATACCGCGTCCTTGCCTGGAGTGAACCCCTAAGGGAAGGGACAGTGAGCACCACGGGGAGAGAGACGGGAACAGGTTGGCATGGCGTAGTGTGTATCATGCTAAGGTGGGGGAACTAGGGGTGCAGGGCAGCAATAAATAGGAGCACCAATCCCACCTCTGGGGGTGGAGGGACTCTTACTGGAAGGAGAATCGGTCAGCATTAGCCTCGTGGCGTTCCTGCGACGGTGCCGTCCATTTCTGCAACTTCACAGGCCTCGCAAGATGCACTTAGGTGCCACGGGCAGGTGGCGACAGTTTTGTTGTGCTGTCTGAAGGAACTCCCCCTGATGACAGAATGTTCTGTGTCTATGTGTCTAATGTGGTAGCCACTGGCCACAGGTGGCTGTTTAGAACTCGAATCGTGCCTCGTGAGACTGAGGATTTCACATTTGAATTCCATTTACTTTTCATCATTTAGATGTAAAATTAAGTAGGCACCTGGGGCCAGCAGCTACTGTGTTGAACAGTGTAACTCTGTAGGAAAAGACTCTTGTAGTTTGATACCTGGTTCTCTCAAGGTACTATTGGCGTTACTTTTAGTGGGTGCGTTGCAAGAGGGTCTCACTGAACAGAGCTTTGGATAACCTCTTCCAAACAACAATAACAACAACAACACGCTGTTCAAGGGCCTTGGGCTCTGCGGGGTTGGTTTCTCGGGGCGCATGGAGCTCTGTTTGTTGCAGTTCTGTCTTTGGGAGCCGTGAATGTGAACGTTCAGACTGATGGTAGTGATAGTGGCCCTGGTTACCGAGCACTCTGCTGGGTGCTCACACCGGCATTGCCTGGCTTGGTCCTCACGTGACTCTGTGAGCTGCAGCTCCTGTTCTCCCCACTTCGCAGATGAGGAAGCAGAGGCCTGGAGATGAACGGACGAACCCAGGACACACCAACAGGGCAAAGGGGAGCTGGTGATGGGGTTACTTTCCAACCACTTCTTTCCTCGTTTGTTCTCGTGGTGGTTCTGGCCCCATAAAATAGGAACTGTGGCCTCCAGTCCTGAGCCATTGGGCTTTCAGCCCCTGTCTCCTTTACTGGGGTATCTGCCTCAGGAGGACAGAGACATTCGTTTTGTCCATCACATGTCACCAGCACCAAGAATAACACCGTGGGTGGGTATTCACTCTGTGTTTGTTAAATGGATATATCTCTCAGCGAGTCAAAGTCCAATAGATCTATTGCCCCCACCACACTGGTAGTAGCAGCCTTTGCTCCTCAGAAACAGTGGAGCTACTGCCTCTCGAAAGCGGGTCACTGGCTGCGGTCCATGGGACTAAGCGACCAAGGAGGGAACAGGCATAAACACAGTATGGAACCATGATTCTCCTGCACCCCCATTGCTCCCTCTTCTGCAAGTCCTCCTAGGCCCCTGTGCTTTCTATCCCAGTGTCCACCAAGTCCTGGACACGGGATGCCACTTTCTGTTGGCAGGTTACCACATGGTGCCCCATGACCACCTCATTATGGTTAGAAGGGTTCTGCAGGCTCATCATCTCCCCGGAGGCAGAGTCATACCCGCACAGGGAGTCTCATCCTGGAGCCTCGTCCTGCTCATGATTTTACAATCCTGTGTGCGTCCAGTTTCCACCTGAGTGGGGCCACCAGTGCTGACGCATCCTTCACGTCCTGGCCATTTCTTACCTCTGTCCAAAGTGATATGGCTGACTGACCACCCTCGGTAATGTTAAATGTATCCATTTAACAAATACATAGTGTCCTTAACTAGACTGAGAGGAAGCTGCTATATGTCATAGTCAGGTCAGTGTCTAATCAAACACAGACACTGATTGAATTTCTGCATGTTGGTAAGAAGCTCAGTTCTTCCTTTCCTAGTATCCAACTCTCACATTCCAGAGCCACATCTCGGGGGGCTCGTTCCAGTAGAAGGTTGATGATCACAAAGGGAACTGGTTTTCTTGTCTTTGTCATGATTTCTGTGCCATGCGAAGGTGGAAGCTGGTTCACAGTACATCCATGAGGAGGGGGCAGGGACTAAGGAACAGAGCTCTCTGCAAGATTGGGCTCATACCTGCTGTTGGCTAGTAATGCATGCAGAGTCGGTTCCGGGCACAGCATTGCTTTAGTGGGTGGAGTCGGTGGATGTTGGAGTTCTTGCCCCGACCAGCTCAGCAGGACCACTCCAATAAATGATCGTGAACACCATAAGTTCTAGTTTTCATAGCAACTCTTGAGCTACTCATTTATCATGGTGAATGGTTTCTCAAGAGGTTGTTAAGGAAGATCACATCAGTTGGATGAAGGAGCTTTTATTTTCTCCGGACGAGTGCACAGCCAATTTCAGAAGACACTTTGAAGTCAACTTTGACTACAACTCAGCTCACATTCAGCTAGCATTCCATTATAGACCAGCTATTTTAGATCTAGAGTTACACTGGGAGGTATTTATTTAAACTTCAGATTTGGGACCAAGTAAAAATGATTGAGGTAGGGATTGGGCAGAATTTACCTAGTTAGGCTAAACCAACACCTTCTACCTCTTGACTTTCCTTCCTTTCCTCCTGCATCTTTCTGGGCTTTGTGCCCTCAGACAGTGAAGAGAAAGCCCTAGATGCGGTGCGATAGTGTTTGTGCAGGTGGCCGGTTGCGGAGATGGCTCGGATGCCATTGGCAGTGCCAGGGACGTTTCAAAAAGACTCCCACTGAGGAGGGAAGAGAAGCAATGGGCTGAGACACCCTTCACCGAGGCAGAGATTTTGAAAAGGGCAGAAATAAATCCAGAGGTGAAAAAGATATTTGGCTTTTATTGTGCTCTTCGTTGTCCTTCTCAGCTCTGTTGGGCAGTCTTAAACCTTCCTGCCACGTGACATTGTATTGGCGGCGTGGCTTGACTTTCAGGCAATGTTGTGTGAAGCTCTCTTCTGTTGGCCCCGCTATTCATTTGCGTGTGTTGAAGGAGAACGTGAAGTCATATGTTGTCTTAGGTGGAATTAACTTTCCTCTAATATCAGACTGACTGACTTTGGGGGACACTCTGTGGGATCTGGGAACGCTGTGGTGTTTTAAATGCAGGCAGATTGGAGCATTCGCATGTGCGGCAGAGAGTTGGACATTACCTGAGTCTCACCTAGGGATGTGCTGAATGTTCTAGAGCCCCCCTCTTCTGCAAGCCAAGCAGGGCAGTCTAGCGATCACGGATGCTGCTGACGAACCGCGAGGGCCTGGGCAGCTAAGTCAGCAGGACGGCATCTTTCCTCCTGTCCGAAGAGGCACGCCCCATCCAGCCTGGGGGTCCCCAGAGGCATGTTGGCATGTCCAGAAATTATGTGGCTCACGGGGGTACTTCTTGGGTAAGGGACAATTCCCTGAATCACAACGTTGGCTCATTTGAGATGAGCCTACTATCATTTCTTTGGGATTTGAAGTGACTTGAATATTTTCAAAATATCTGCTTGTGCAAAGTTACATACTAAAAAGTTGCTATGTCCTTGGGGAGATAGTATCATTTAGACAGAGTTTCCTGAAGTTTGTCTCCTAAAACATTCTGTGGTGAGGTGTGTTTTGGGGAGGGCTTGGTGGTCCAGTTATTTGGTCAGGGCCGCCCCTGCTGCCCCGTGGCGGACACTCAGGACACGCAGGATGCGGGAGCATGTTGAAGGCCTGCAGATGGTACCCGAGGCACAGACACCAGGTTCGTTTTCATTCACTGGAGAACTTCTCAGGGACACCTCATGGAAGTGCCTGGGACACTCGTTCTCGTCCTAACTCGAAGTCCCAGGAAGACGGCTGACCCCCAAAACCGTGAGTCCCTGCCAGGAAACGAAGGTTTGGATCCAGATGTCACATCTGAGCACGTTGACCCCAAAGCCCGACCTGACTTGACGATAGGTGTGACCTTTGTTGTTACCTCCAGGGCAGCTGTGCTTGGACCTGCCCAGAGGTGCTGTGCTCATCCCCACTCCGTGTGTACGGTGTGTCCCGACCAGGGCCGGGGCTCGAGCTCCCTGCCGCCATCGGGCCCCTTTCCTCGGGCGCAGACCTACACATGGTCACTCCGCGCCCCTCAGCTCCCTGCACTTGCCATGCTCCCCACCTCACAACCTCTGCAGACGTTCTCTTCTGGGGCGTGCTTCTTCATCCTTGGGCCACCCCTCACGCAGGTTCACAAGTCTCACCCATATGTAGTGGGTTTTATGGTGTCTCCACCCCACATTCATGTCCACTTGGAGCCCCAGAATGTGACCTTTGGAAATAGAGTCTGTGTAGATGTAATGAGGTAAGTTGAGATTAGATCACACTGGATTTGGGTGGGCCCTACATGCTGGATGACGGGTGTGCTCACAAGAGGCGGAGACACAGGGACACAGAGGGAAGACAGCCAGGTAAAGAGGAGGAAGAGATTGGAGAGATGCACGTCTGAGTCAGGGAGACCAAGGATTGCCGAGGCCACCAGTGCTAAGAGGGGCAGGGAGGGTCTTCCCTGGAGCCTTCAGAGGGAGCGTGGCCCTGCTGTTGGACGTCTGTCCTCCCCGAGAGAACGCATCCCTGTCAAGCCACCCGGTTGGTAGGCCGTTGTTACATCAGCCCTAGAAAACTCATAGACCACCATTCTGTTCTCAGCTTCAAGGAGAGGCTTCTTCACCCTACGGATGAGAGTCACTGTTCACACACTAACGTCGCCTCGGGTACTTCTCCTCCCTGAGGGCTCTGGTTCCTGTATCCAGTGTCTGATTCTCTGCTGGACAGAGGCTCCCTGAGCGCTGGCGGGGCTGGGCCCGTCTTCCTCAGTCACTGCCATGTGTCCGGCAGCGGTCTGAGTGCCAGGAGGGGTTATAAGCCCATTCGAAGAGAAATGACCTCAGTCCAAAGGGTACCATGCAGGGGCACTAATTCCTCCCCTAAGCACAGGGGCATTAAGAGAGAACTGTTTTCTTTAGTCCATTATATTCCACAAACGAGTGAGACCATGCGATATTTGTCTTTCTCTGCTTGGCTTGCTTCGCTTAGCATAATATTCTCCAGGTCCTTCCAGGCCATCTCAAAGGATGAGAGATCTTTTTTTCTTACAGCTGCATAGTACTCCATTGGAATATAATGAACTAAACAAACTGCTGAACAAAATTAACCCAGAGACATGGAGGTGGGGTGCAGACTGACAAGCCTCAGAGGAGGGGACGGTTTGTGGGGGAAGAGATAAACCACAGAACTTACATGCCTGTAGGCATGACCAATGAACATAGACAACAAGGCTGGGGATGGGGCAGGGGGGAAGGGGAGGAGGGTGTCAATGGGGGAAAAATGAGAAACATCTGTAACAAAAACAAATTAATAAATAAAATATTTTTTACAAAAAGACAGAGAACTGTTTTGCCCGGCCGGTATGGCTCAGTGGTTGAGCACTGACCCAGGCACCAAGAGGTCGTGGGTTTGATTCCCGGTCAGGGCACATGCCCAGGTTGTGGACCAAACCTCCAGTGGGGGGCATGCAGGAGGCGGCCAATCGATGTTCTCTCTCATCGATGTTTCTCTGTCTCTCTCCCTCTCCCCTCCTCTCCCTCTAAAACCAATAAAGAAAAAAATATCAAAAAAAAAAGAGAGAGAGAGAAGAGAGAAGTGTTGTCTCCTCCTGGTGGAGCGCACAGTGGTGGGGCTGGGTGGCAGAGCGTGGACGGGCGGAGGATGATCAGATCGACCCGTGGTCTAAGAGCACTACCCACAGTTCAATTCAAGAAACACCCCTGAACGCCTGCCATGAGTCAACACATTAGAAGATAAATTCTTTGTATCGGACTCAGACCAGTTCTTGGTGGAATTACAAATCGGAACGTTACTTAGCCTCACCAGGTGTGGAACTGCCCATGTCAGGAATGCGCGATTCTGGCTGTGCTTGGCTTTGCACAAAGCTGGGTTGTTCGCGACAAACTGCATCCCTGTCCCTCAGTGTGCGCTATCATGGCAGCTTCGCTTTATCTTCATTACCCGACGGCCTTCCATTGGCAGTGGCTTCTCGTGCTTCCATTTTCCGGATCTGTTCCCGGGAACTCACTGAATTAGGCACGTTTGCAGGTGGGAAATGGAGGTATAAGGAAGACAGAACAAAACGACTCTGGGTTGCAACCTGCCCTCTCAGTTATCCGGGTAGTGACGTGGGGGTTCATGGTAAGCACATGACTGTTAGCCAGTGTGGTCCAGACAGCTGGCCGAGAGTGATGGGACAGGGGCCTCTCAGTGCTGGATCCGAGTCATGCTTTGCTCCCGTGAAAATCATTTTTCTCTTCTAATTTTCTTAACTCCAAAGCCTAGGTTTCAAATCCCCCATCTCTGAGCATCGCTGATGGAGGAAAACAACGATTTTCTATCTTATTTTTAGGCAGCACTTTTCTTTTTAAGTTTTATTCTTAAAAACTAAGTTGTAAATAGAGAATGTCAGCCTTGGGCACATCCCGACTGTCCACAAACCATGGAGCTAAGGGTATTGGAAAACACTCTCCAAGCCTGAAACTCAGACTTCATTATACAGCAGAATGAGGGCCATTTTATTTCATTTCAGTGTGGAAGGCCAGGCCAGAACGCCTGATTTAAAAAACAGGAGTCAGGAAAGAACAGACTGGTGCATAGTCTGAGATAGAAGCGTATCAGATGCTTGTACCACCTGCCCCGACCCCCTCCATGCTATAGGCATTACCTCACCCAGGTCCAGGGATGGGGCCCCCCTCTGCCCAGACGACTGTGAATGATGCCCAGGTCCAACAACTTGAGGGACAGTGAGAAATGACCTTGGCGAACTGTATCATTAGCCACGAGAAGTGGCAGGAATCATGTCCTTCCTAGATGTGACCACTGGCCGGCGGGCCTCGGGGCCAGCGGGCTGGGCTGCGTCGCTGTGGGGCGGCAGCCCCCAAGCCGCTTCCCAGAGCTGGTGATGGGGGACGCGGCGAGCTCCGGGGTTGGTCTCTGCGTGCGATTTTTCACCCTGTCCATTCAGTCAGCAAGGCAGAGCAGCCTTGAAATGCTATGAATAAATATTTAAAGTTTCTGGGTTTCTTATAACTCCATTTTTCTTCTAGGGATTAAATGGGAACCAGATGAGAATGGAGTCATTGCCTTTGACTGCAGGAACCGAAAATGGTAAGAAATGGCCAGACCTCTGAGTTTTTATAAAGAAAACTTGCAGAGACGGTCAAGACTCCCTTCTGCTTTACTGCCCCCTGACCTAGGTACATCCAGGCGGCGACTTCTCCAAAAGACGTGGTCATTTTGGTCGACGTCAGTGGCAGCATGAAGGGGCTTCGCCTGACCATTGCCAAGCAGACGGTCTCGTCTATTTTGGACACGCTGGGGGACGACGACTTCTTCAACATCATCGCTGTGAGTGCGGCTGTTTTGTGCTTTCTGTGCACCTCGGGTTCATTTGATCTTTTAGTAGCGTCGGTTCACATTCTTATTGCTTTTGTACACAGAGCGTTGGCTGCCTCAGGCGGGGAGCGGGCAGTCCCCTGTGCGTCCCTGAGTCGTGATTTCGGAGGGGCCCTGGGGGGCTGGATTGCAGCCGAGCTCATTTTCTCTCCTACACGCAGACAGGTGCTGTCATCTGGAAGAGTAGCGCCCGACTTGGTTTTCCTGGGGAGACACCCTTTGCAGGATCAGACCTGGCAAGGTTTTCCTTAAACTGCTAGATTTTCTCCTGCGGAGAGTCACTTTAAACTGGATTAGCCTGATGACAAAGGTAGTGGTAACAGTCATGAGGGTAGGATGATGACCATGTGGACGGCGGTTGTAGACTCTTCACAGAACACTTGATCTCATCCTCAGAGACAGAAGTGGCCATCACGAAGCACTTCCTGTGTGCTGCTGCCTCTCCTCTTCCTGCTCACAGTCACTGCAGGTGGTGCAGGTGGTGTGGGCGTTTTCGCAAGCGCAGCTGCTCCGATTGAGAGGGTGCCGGTACGCGCCTGAGGTCACGGCGCCGGGCCGCGGGAGGTCCGGGGCAGCAGCATCCTCTCTGGAAGGAGCATCGGTCCAGCTTTACAGCCCAGCTGCTCTCCTCTCTCCCAGGGTCTGCTGGGGTTCTTTCATGGCCCTTAGGTCCCCCTTGCCCCTTCCCCAAAGGGTATAGCCACAGCGAGCCCGGTCCTTTTCCCGGAGTACTTACCCAGGTGCTCCTGCCAGGGGTCCGTGTGCTTTGCCTCATCACTTCTATCTGGGGCTGGAGGGTGGCAGCAGGCAGGGGAGGCAGCGTGGTGAGGGGGACAGAGCTTGGGCTTTGGAGCTGGGTCTTACTTTTGGATCCTGGTTCCACCACATACACCTGTGTATCTCGGGGCAAAGCACTCAATCTGAGCATCAGCCCACCAGCCGTGACGCTGGTATGACCCCATCGCCCACAGGCTGCTGCTGGACGGCCTGAGCCAGTGCACGGGAGGCCGTGGTCAGGGGGCAGCGGTGTGAGGCGCGTGCGCATGTGCCGCGAGGATGCTGGTGCTGTGGTCTGCCTGGCTCCCTGAACGGATCAGAATGTGTCATGAAGGGATGACCTCTGGCAGCCTCCTGCACAGGCATGACGCCCCTCTGCTCGCTAGGCAGAGGGCAGGTGTTTACATGACCTTGGGCTTGCAGAGAGATTGCTTGAATCCGCGTCCCCCTACCTGCGTGGGCTTCTGATGGGACTCTGAGCAAAAACACACAACCACAGGGCACTGTGACTTACAGCTTCAGATTTTAAAAAGCCCTAAAGAAGAAAGAGAAAAGAGAATCATAGATTCCATGGACGCGGGGCGAGACCTCGGTGCCTAGGGCCGTGCCTGGCAAATAGGAGTTTAAATATTTATCTCATGAGTGATGCCAGCTGCCGCCTCCCACAGGGCACCCACTGCATTCGAGCCCCTGCTGAGTGTCCTGTGTGGGCTACCTCACCGGACCTTCCCAGCCCTGTGCTGGGTGGCACGGAGACAGGCACCCGAGGCAGAGACGCCTGGCTTTGCCTTCTGCGTCCCCAGCAGAAGTGCAGGGAATGGGGGAGCAGCTCAGCCACCCTCCTGTGGCCTGTGTCCAGGGCACAGTCCTTCCCAAGGGGACGTTCAGACAGAAGTGACTGTAGTTACCAGTCTCCCTGAGGATATGCAAATGTGTCCCGGTCCCCACATATCCCAAAGCTTTTGCAGATAAGAAGCAGCTAATGTGGGACTATCTTTCTTATTAATCTTTAATTACTCACAACGGAAGTATCAGAAATTTGCATAATAAGAAGAGCTAACTAATTACATACTGAATCTTTTATCAGTCAGGATTTATTGTTCTGTTAACAAAACCAATCGATTGAAATAATCTCTGTAAATTCATTAAGATATACAAACAGTGTCAACTCAATAATGAAGAGAGGGTGATTAAGATAATTAAAAATAGACATGCCAGTTATTATAGAACAGTTAAGAAAAAAAATTATTTTTTTTTTACTTCAAATTGTTCCTTTATTTAAAGAAATCCATTAGAAGTCTCATTAACCCTCTCTATACATCTGTTTGTTAGTTTTCAACATAAATGATCAGCTTTAAGACAATATACACGCTCATTTCACTAACTAGAAAGGTACTCTGAACATTTTTACATGAAGCCTCCATTGTGAAATCATAAACTTTTGCTGAAGGAGAAAGAAATGGGCCAAATATGTTAGTGGGTTTGTATCAAAAGCCCGAGGTCACAAAAGGAACCACGGATTAACAATTACCTTTACACATTTATTTTAATACAACATATGTAAAACTTTTAAACAATTCAGAAATGTTCTCATTCCCTTTTCATTTGGCACGTATTCTTCCAATTTTTTTTTATATACATGAACATACATAATTTCCCCCCAAAACTAGAATCACATTTTACAGACTACTCAGCAACTTGACTTTATACTCACGTGTGATCACGTGTGTTTGAAGAGCAGGGCATTCCATCACCTGTAGTTGACACTGATGTTTTTCTTTTTTTTTTTTTTTTTTAATCATCCTCACCCGAGGACATTCTTCCATTCTTTGTTCAGACAGAGTGGGAGGGAGGGAGAGAGAGAAAGAGAGAAACATCGACGTGAAAGGGACACATCGAGTGGTCGCCACCCGCACAACCAACCAGGGCCGGGGACAAACTGCAACCGAGGTACGCGCCCTTAGCGGGAACCGAACCCGGGTCTCTCTGGACCGCAGGCCAATGCTCCAACCGCTGAGCCAAACCGGCCAGGGCGACACTGATGTTTTTCATCCGTACCCCTCGGCCGGGCATATGCTGTTGCTGATCTCTTTTCTGCCCTAGCGTGCCGCAGTGTGAGGGCCCGTGCCAACATTTCTGCAGGATTGGTTGTGCTCCTATTGAGTAAAATCTAGAAGTGAAATCACTACACCAAAGTGCGTGCGCATCGTTAGGTATTGCTGGAATGTCCCCTAAGCAGGGTGTGATGTTGACACTTGTATAAACTGTATCAATGAGCCCATCTTCTGTAACACAATATGGCTGGGTGGCCCAAACCACAGAAGTATATTTACTCCCAGTTCTAGAGGTGGGAAAGTCCAAGATCAAGGTTGGGCAGGGTTTGGTTTGTGGGGAAGGCTCCCTTTGTGGCTTGTAGACAGCTACCTTCCATCTGTGTGCTCAGTGGCCTTCTCTTACGTGCTCATAGAGGGAGAAGGAGAGAGCTGTCTCCTGTGTCTTCTTGTAAGGCCATGATCCCACGATGGGGACCCACCATTATCTATCCCTAATTACGTCCCAAAGGTCCCTTCTCCAAATACTGGCACACTGGGGGTTAGGGCTTAAACATAAACATTTAAGGGGGACACAGACATTCACTGTGTAACATCAACATTTTGAGGGATTTTAATGGTATATTTGTAATTGGCAAATCTCTAGTTGCATTCTGTTGAATTGTCTCTCTCAATCCTAAGTGCATCTTAGTGATTTTGCCTGGGTGAATTGTGGTGGGGTTTTCTCCATCACTTTCTCCTATTGCCACAGTAGCAAAATTGCTCCAGTAGTAGAGCGTACGTTTTTCTTCTTCAGTCTGTTTGAAATGGCCACTTGCCTCTGTCCAGAGGGGTCCCCACTGCAGGCTCTTGGAAGTGCAAGGGGATGGGATGTTGAAACTCCATCCCGGATGCCCCGCCAGTCTGTGTGAGCACCTCGTTCTGTGGCCTGGGTTCCTTTTTGGGAGAGGACACCACCATGCCACCCTTCAGTGCCCTGTCAGCTTTCTCTTGCTCGCTGGGTAGATGTTTGAGGAGAAATTTTAGTGTTTTAGAGAGAAAGTAAAGAAAAGGGTGTTTGTTTCCAGGGTTGGAAGCCCTCATGCACTGTAGACTTTGTTTGTACAAATCTAATCCATCGTTGCCTTTGGTTTTCAGAGCCATCCCGGGGGCGGGAGGAGAGAGATTTAATGAGTGGAAAAGGCTTTCCTTGGCCATTCCTGTCGTTTTTGCATGTTTGTATTAAGTTCTTTGCTAAATGCATCTTGTGTATTATATTGAAAAGCTTTCAACCCAGGGGAGAATAAACACGAGAAGATGGCGTTAAAAACTGTTTCGGCTTTCAGGGGCAGGGTATTACAAAATCTGTCTAAGCTGATGACCTGAATGATCGAATTATAACAGGACACTTGAAATATGAGAGTGAGGTTGTGCATCCGAAGTTAAACTTAAGATCCAACCACTGGTGCATGAAGGGAGAGATCTCTGACAAGGGAAAAGGCACATTTTTTCTGACTCACTTTGAAGTCTAACTCCAAGCCATGCAGTAAATTAACACCGCTATCATAAAAATGAGGGCGCTGATTCTGTCCCGTCCGATTCTGAAGCTGGAAAGATGATTGTACAGGTGTCTAAAGCCGTGCATTAGCTGAATGCGGTATCAACCAGGCTGCTGTCGCTAAATCCGTTCCAATACCTCCTGCAGCCCGCGTCGGTGCAGAGAAGAGACTCGTTTGTTCGTTCAGCCCAGAACTTTCTGCGGCCCTGGTTTCAATTTGCAGAATTTTCTTTAAAACCATCTCTCCAGTGCTTTGCCTGCTGTAGATTTGCTTTTTAAAGTAATCAATTCCGTATTAAAAGTAGGAGGATGGTATTTTCTTTCAGTGCTCATTTGTTCTATACTACTAATTATGTCCAGTCGTGTTTCCAATTATACAAGAAGCTTTTGTAATGCAAAAGATGCCTGGGACCCCTTGTGCTGGTGAAAATACTGTGGGTTCATCTGCTTCGTTACATAATCCCTACACATTTCCATTCTAAAGGTTATTTAATCAAAAGTGCACCAATAAAACCATAAAAATCTTTAATGGCATTCCAGCAATTCGCATCAGCCTCCCGGCACTGCAGGAGCCCGCGTTTGATTCT